CCCAAGCCGTTCCCCCCTCAGTTCTATTCCAGTCTCTGGCTCGGGGCCTGCCAGGGAACTCCATCCCACCCCTTCTGGGCCAGCCTCAGCCCAGCCCCTCCCAGCGCCCCCTCCTGGCTGGGTGGGGGCCCCCTTGGCTGAGCTGGGGCGCTCCCCTTCCCCACCAAGGCCAACCCTTTCCTGTGGTGTCATCCCAGTGCTGTGCACCACCCTCTCATAACTCGCACCCGGATCCCAGCCATGCTCCGTCCCCTCCTGCACCCCTAGGATGGCACTTGGGCCAAAGGGGGCCTAGGTGATGGTGAGTGGGCCCCCATACCTCGTCACCCCCTTCCCTTCCTCCAGCTCAGGCTTACTGCCATCCCACCCTGGGAAGGGATGTTCTTGGGAAGTTCCTGATGGGTATAAGGGCCCGGGTGCCCTCCCCCCACCACGCCCCAGATCAGAGGGTTCCTTGAGAAGATAGGAAACTTGGGTACAGGCACCCCACTGGATTACCACATCCTCGGGAGAGGCAGAGAGACTCCTCCTGACTGGCCCCCACCCCGAGTCCCTTCTCAAACCCAAACCCTGCCTCTGGCCTCACGATGTCAAGAAGGGTCCCTGCCCAGATACAACCAAAGCCCCCCTAGATCCGCTACACTTTTTGCAAGACCCCCAATACCCAACTCAGTGTCAGAAGAGAGAGGGCCAAGGGCAGCCCTTAGTGTGCACAGGGTCTCCCTACTTTCTCATGCCTGTGTTCTTGGGTGGCAAGTTCTTCAGAGGTGGGCTTCTCCCTCTCTTGGTTGTGTGTGTGTGGGGGGGAACTGGGCCCCAGCCCCCATTCCCAGGCCTCACCCTGGGGCCTCCAGGCCCTGGCCCCACCCCCTGTTCTCTGCTGGAACACAGAGGAAGGGTGGCCGGGTTCCAGCTGCACGTCCCAAGCCGGGCAGAGTGCCAGGGGGCTGGACCAGGGCTGGGCATGGGGCCAGCTGGGGAGACTGGCCAGCTGGGGAAATCCGGAGGCAGCAGAGGTGGGACACGGGGAAGGGACTGAGGCCACGGGGCCAAGGAGGGTCAGGGCAGGGGCCCCTGGGGTGGACATGCCCCCCAAGCCATGGCATCTAAGAGCACAGGCCCGAGTCAGGTTCGAATCCCAGCTCATCTGCTTCCTGGGTGCGTGGCCTTGTGTCAGTGACTGCCTCTCTGAGCCTCAGTCACATATCCTGGAAGATGGGGATCATCCCTCCCCTCCACTGCACCCCCTCAGGATGAGGAGCAGTGAGGGAACCCATCTTTGGGGCAGGATACCCCCTAGGTGTGTGAAAGTCACGTGTGTAATTACACACACACACACACACACACACACACACCACACCACAGGCCTCCCTGGTGCGCAAGAGGCTCCTCAGCCTTCCGTTCCTGATGTGGACCAAGAGGGGATAACAGAAAGTTTAAGTCTCTCCTGGCACTCCCCAATCGCCAGGCCCCCTTCTGAGTCCTTGCCGTATGGTAATTCATTTCATCTTTAAAACAACCCTGTGAGGTTGTATTGTGATGCTCGGGGGAAGCCCTGCGACTTGTCCAAAGTTACACAGCTAGGACATAGTGGGAGTCCCAAACCTGAGGAACGAGTCCCTACTCTGTTTAATGAAAGGCTGAACAAGTCCCTACCCCATTTAACGAAAGGCCGGAGACCCAGGCCCGGAGACCTAGGCAGCTCTGAAGCCAGTGAGAGGCCCACACTTCCCGTCAGAAGAACATCCAGAGAACAGGCTGGGAGCTAGAAGGAGGGTCCTGCCGCAGCCACCAGCTGGCTCCTTCTATCGAAGTCTGCCACAGACAGGATTACAGAGCCCAGCTGCCCGGGAGGTGGGGGGCCAGCCCCACCCCCATTCCTGTTCCTACTCCCTCTTCCCTCCATCTGGGCCCCCAGCTCAGGGAGGCCCGCCCACCCCCACCCTCTGGGCAGGAAGACAAACAGGGCTGGAACAGAACGGGACAGGACGGAATGTCCTCTGGGCAGAGCAGGACTGGAGGCCCCTGCCTCCCACCAGCCAGGAGGGAGGGAATGGGGGG